TTTTTCCCAAAATCGCCGTTTCTCGCCCCGTTTCCCCATTTTTCCCCGTTTTTCCCAAAATCCCTGTTTCTCGCCCCGTTTTCCCCATTTTTCCCCCCGTTTTCCCCCCATTTTTCCCCGTTTTTCCCAAAATCCCCGTTTTTCCCCGTTTTTCCCAAAATCGCCGTTTCTCGCCCCGTTTCCCCCATTTCCCCATTTTTCCCCGTTTTTCCCAAAATGGCCGTTTCTCGCCCCGTTTCCCCCCGTTTTTCTCCCCGTTTTTCCCAGTTTTTCCCAAAATCCCCGTTTTTCTCCCCGTTTTTCCCAAAATCGCCGTTTCTCGCCCCGTTTCCCCCATTTCCCCGTTTTTCCCCGTTTTTCCCAAAATCGCCGTTTTTCGCCCCGTTTTCCCCGTTTTTCCCAAAATCGCCGTTTCTCGCCCCGTTTCCCCCCCGTTTTTCTCCCGTTTTTCCCCGTTTTTCCCCGTTTTTCCCAAAATGCCCGTTTTTCTCCCCGTTTTTCCCAAAACCGCCGTTTTTCGCCCCGTTTCCAGGCCCGCTGGGCCGCGGCGGGTTCGGCTCCGGCTCCGGCGGCCGCGGCGCCTTCACGGGCGGGGGAGGGGCGCAGCAGAGAGCGGGGGACTGGAAGTGCCCCAACCCGTGAGTGCCGTACTGGTTATACTGGGAGGGACTGGGAGGGACTGGGGGGGACTGGGAGGGAACTGGGATAAACTGGGAGGGACTGGGAGGGACTGGGTTATACTGGGAATGGACTGGGAGGGACTGGGATGGAACTGCGAGGGACTGGGTTATACTGGGAGGGACTGGGAATGGACTGGGAGGGACTGGGAATGGACTGGGATATACTGGTTTATACTGGGAATGGACTGGGAGGGACTGGGAGGGAACTGGGATATACTGGGATGGACTGGGAATGGACTGGGAGGGAACTGGGATATACTGGGAGGGACTGGGAGGGAACTGGGATATACTGGGAGGGACTGGGAATGGACTGGGAGGGAACTGGGAATGGGCTGGGTTATACTGGGAATGGACTGGGAGGGACTGGGTTATACTGGTTTGGACTGGGAATGGGATTGGGAGGGATTGGGAATGGACTGGGATATACTGGGAGGGACTAGGAGGGAACTGGGTTATACTGGGAGGGACTGGGAGGGAACTGGGTTATACTGGGAGGGACTGGGAATGGGATTGGGAGGGATTGGGAATGGACTGGGTTATACTGGGAGGGACTAGGAGGGAACTGGG